AATTATTAAAAAATTGATTTAAGAGGTTTAAAATTAATTTAAAACAGTTAAGAATAGAAAACAATTATACGTAAAATATAGTGCAATCAGTTCGGACATTGCACAGTGCTCATTCAATAAATGCACAGCTAAACAGATGAGTTTTGAGTCTGCATTTAAATGTGACTAATGTTTTAGCACATCTGATTTCTTCTGGAAGCAGATTCCAACTGCAGGCGGCATAATAACTAAAAGCGGACTACCCTTGTTTTGTGTGAACCCTTGGTATATCTAACCGACTCGATCCTAATGATCTGAGTGGTCTGTTAGGTTTATATTCAGTGAACATATCTGCTATGTATTTAGGTCCTAGGCCATTGAGTGATTTATAAACGAGTAAAAGTACTGCTATGTATTTACTAATGGTCTTCTTGGGAAGGCCGGTGAGGAGACCATTACAATAGTCCACCCTGCTGGTGATAAAGGCATGAATAAGTTTATAGAAAAATATATTCATTATAAAATGCTCATTGAGATTTACAAAGTTTTAAAATGCACTTTTTAAACAAGCTTATTTTAATATTTGTCTTTTTTTATATATATAATTTTAAGTCATCTTTAGGCCCCTTTGGAAATTTACTGAGGCCCAGTGGGCCCCTGCCCTAAAATGATTCAAAATAATTAAAATCTAGCTTAATTAAAAAGGTAACTAGAGAATGACTGCCCTAAAGCGCCTATAGTGCGCTGTATAACTGACAGCGCTCTATAACTGATCCGAAATCAGTCCCAATCAGCGACCCCTACAGCGTTATATTGCTGAATAGAATTCCATCACTGACCCCAGACTCTCTATCACTAATACTGGTGCGCTCCATCAATTCAACACAAACGGACGTATACTTACCGCTCAAAACGGGTCACCGAGGCAAAGCAGTCAACGACGTTTTCTTAGTCATGCATTATCTGACAAATCCCCTTCAATGAGTCTGTATTTGTCCGGAGAATTACTCCAAAAGAATTGTTTTATCAAACTGCTCCTGCGCAATGCGCATGCATCTGCCAACGGACTTTCCCTCCTCAAAACGCTGCAGCCTGCAAAAATCCTCTAATTGACTACGAGAAGAGAAATAAAGTCATATCTCATTGGTTGTGCTGTTTGCTGCAGTGAAAGTAACTGCAGCCCGGACTTGTTCAGACACCCGCAGCTAACTAACGTTAAGTCCATAAGACATTCAATCCCAATTCTATTTTATACCCCTTCCCCTTCCCCTACCCCTCTGCCTACCCCTTCCCCTTGTCCCTTGAAACAGAGTGTCAAGGGGTAGGGGTGAAAATATTCCCCTAAGAATTGGGACACCACTACTATGCCGTCACACGTCATCATACGTCGTCTAGCTCCTACAATACACACACCTATACTGGTGTGCTGGTGTGTGCATTAGAGCCTTTAATTAGCGATCGCGCAGCTCACATATCCAGGAGAAAAGAAACTTGTCAACGCTGCCCCACGACTTTTATTAATAACAGTTTAAATACTGAATCGCTACATTATATTTTTCAGCAACGAGAGGATAAAATCGCTGTTTTTTAAGTAAACTCACACTTAAAAGAGAAACGCACAGACGCGCATACACACATCTTTCATCTCTCTCTCTCTCTCTTTCGAATTGGCAATATTTGAGAAAAGGGTTTAGCGATTTCTAATTATTGGGGGACTAGCCCCCCTCAATGTCTACAGTGGTTATCGCCCTGATCAGACATGAAAATATGTTGTGGCACTATCGTGAAAAAAAAAAGGGCTAAGGGGTAGAATTGGGGAAGGGCCTTACTCTCTTCTCAGGATCGTCTTTCAGAACTGTGCGCGAGCTGCCCGCCTTCTCACAATACAGCCAATCAAATCACGAGTTAGCGGTGCTCGTGCGCTCTATGCTCTTGCCTGTACCTGCACAGGTAAATTGTACGTTCATAATCAAATGTTATTTTTCCCGGGGCCGACACATTACAGCGTCTGATATACATAGAATTTAGAGAGCAGGACTGCACATGTTCACCAGGTTTAACATGAGTTTTTGAGATTGCACAGTTTTGAATACTCCTGCTCAGTTGTCCACTCAAATCCAAGGAAGCTTGGGGTGTTTTTCTTGTCATCTGTTCATCATATGTACAGACAGACTATATTTATGCCTCTGATGTAATGCAAAACTCCTTTCTCCTCATGGGACCTCTATAATCACAACAAAGATCCTCATGGACATTTTGTCTGCTGTACATTAATATTCTAATTAAATTTAGGATTGAGTGTAACTTACAGTATTTTCCTTATTAGTTGAATTATACCTCTAAATAACTGACTGACCAGTGGTTATTCTAATAGAGAAGCGGAAGAAATACAGTGATGACGACGACCAATCACACACACGCAGTATTCAGGTACACACACAACTCACACACGCCGCACATATTGCACATACACACACGTGTGTTCATATTTTGAGATGTGGTTACAGGGCAGATGCTAATATGTCAGAGAGCTGATAAATCACTGAGCGTTCCTATGTCACTCAGAAGACATGATGCCCCAGAACTGCTGACTTTAATTTAATTTTACACTTACAAGGTTAATTGTTTTTATCTTTTATTGGCTTGCAATCAAAGAATCTGCCTTTTTTCATGCTAATAAAAAAAGAAAAAGGAAAATAATAAATATAAAAATAATAATAATAAAATATAATAAAAATTGTCATGCCACTGAATAATCAGTAATGTTAAAAATAATCAAATTACATTAGTGATTAAACATGATAAGCAAGCATGTTAACCACTAAACTGAACAATTCTGTCCTGCTAATATCCTGCTCATTTATACTTGTCAAGTTGTCATTTTCCTCCTGGCCATGTGGAATGCAAAGTGTGTAAGAGGCTTAAGATTTTATTTTAGAGTTTTGTGCTTCTTTCTTTTACACTTAGCCCATTGCTCCCTATCTGTCTCTCTCTCTCTCTCTGTGCAATCATCCTATTTAGTTAAAGGGGTCATTTGATGCGATTTCAATTTTTCCTTTCTCTTTGAAGTGTTACAAGCTCTTGGTGCATAAAGAAGATCTGTAAAGTTGCAAAGACTAAAGTCTCAAATCCAAGTGGGTCACCCATGTGGCATTCCAGCCTTTTTATACTTCTCATGCAGTACTTCCAAAGAACTTCTGTCAAATCATCATGGAAGACAGTCAAGAATCTCTGAGGAAAAGCCAAAGCAGAGAGATGACATTTGCTGATTACATGGATTATCAATCAATCACCCCAGCGCTGATGGTCAAGCTCTACTTAGAAAAGCGAGACAACCTTGTAGGAGTGTTAAAAAATGTGCACATACATGCCTACTTTTTTGGCTCTGTAATTACTTGTCAAGATTTGCTTGTATGCGATACGTAAATGTAAGTAGGCTTACTGAAACATGAATACTTCAATATTTCTCTTCTCTCTAAATATATAGGCCTTTATACAACGGTTCGTTCTGGTTCTCAAATCTGATTGGTTGAGAACCGTGAGATATTGGTTGTGATTGCCTCCCTCTGGCCTAATCACAGCCATGCTGATATAGAGCCGGTATCGCTCTCGTACTCGAGTGATATTGCTCATATACATAATTAAGATTATCTTTTTGAACAACATAATTGAAATAATTAATGGAAATAAAAGATTTAGAAAGGGTTTGACTTATTGAAATGTATGGGTCTGAATGTGGAAAATATATCTGACGTAAGTATCACTAGGTGTTTTTATGGCTGTGGTTGGTTGTGCTGCATATTAGTTGTGCCTCTGTAGGTTACACAGTTCACAGATGCCCAACATGTGTGACAGAGAAAGTGGTGTGTCTGAGAGAGGGGGTGAGAGATGTGTTTGGTTGATTTGCTACCACATTCTGTCATTTTTTCTTTTGAGGTTTAAGTCTCCTACCTAGACATCTGACATCTATATGTAATTAAGCGAAATGCCATGCTTATTACAGTATGTATTATTTATTGCCATATGGATAATAAACCATGCCTGTGGTATATTACAGTACAGACATAATAAAGTGATCAAAGGAAAACAAGTATTTTGCCATGCAAAAGCTTGGTGGACAGTGGGAACTTCAGATTTACTACAAGATAATTCCCTCATGAAGTACTTTTAGATTTTAACTACATCCTATTCAGACAAACATCCTTTGAAGATCTTGAGATCTGCTGAACAGTAAATGTGACCCTGGACCACAAAACCAGTCAATTTCTTGAGCTGAATAAATAAGCTTTCCATTGATGTATGGTTTGTTAGGATAGGACAATATTTGGCCGAGATACGTCTTTTTGAAAATCTGGAATCTGAGGGTGCAAAAAAATCAAAATATTGAGAAAATCGCCTTTAAAGTTGTCCAAATGAAGTTCTTAGAAATGCATATTACTAATCAAAAATTAAGTTTTGAAATATTTACAGTAGGAAATGTACAAAATATCTTCATGGAACATGATCTTTACTTAATATCCTAATGATTTTTGGCATAAAAGAAAAATTGATAATTTGGACCCATACAATGTTTTTTTTGGCTATTGCTAAATATATACCCAAGCGACTTTAGACTGGTTTTGTGGTCCAGGGTCACAAATGTGAGTAATATTTTTTTTACAGTGTCTGCTAATGGGTGTGTGTATAAAATGAGTGTTTGTTGATATGAAAGTTTTCAGCATGTCTCTATTTGCTTGTGTTGGATATGTGACTGAGTGCAGTGTCTCTAAATTACAGTCAAATGCAAACATTCTGAAAATATCTTGATATCAATGCATGTTAATGGGCAAAACAAATAAATAAATGCAATTTCTCTTAATTAAAGTCAATGCAAACATTCTGAAAATATTTTGATATAAATGTACGTTAATAGATAAAAAATTATAAATTATAATAAATAAAAATGATATAACTCATATGTACCTGTAGAGTAAAAAAACAAACAAACAACAGAGACATAAGTGAGTGTAAGCCACACAATTTTTCAGTGATTTCAAGTGCTCCCTTTTATTGTAGATGATCAGGATGATCAAGTTTATGCAAAAATACAAAAATGTCCATAAAACCCTGTCATTTTGACATTATGACATACCAAACTGTATTAACACATATTATAAAAAGCTATCATGGTGGATTTAGCATACATTATTTATACACACATGATGAGCACTGACAAAAAATTAGGAAGATTAAAAAGATGAATGCCATCTCCATCTAGTGGTGAGTTTGGTTAAAGGTTTTACCATCATAATAGTGCAAATGAGTTTTATACAAATCTTATTTTCACTTAGCTTAATTCTAATTGCATACTTTTTTTGTTGTTGAGAATGTCACTAGTGTTTCTGATAAGTAGCATTGTCAAAGAACAGCTTAAAATGAAGCATCCTGATTGTTTCTGAATTCAGCACCATTAAGCTTAATATTACAGTCAAGATTCCCATATCAATATAATACAGAACTAGGCATTCCATAATAGTACTACTGTATATCTCACATTAAATATCATGTATTATGTTAAAGATGTGTTTTTTGGTTGTAAAACAATCTTATAGGGATACAGTAGATTACCCAAAAAGTCCAAATTCTAAAAGCTGTTGTATATGGTCAAGTGTTTATGGTGCTTTTTGGTCTTTTTGGGAGCTTAACAGGCCCTGGCCAAGGTATGCTTCCATTATATGGAAGGGAACAGTCAATATTCTGCATAAGATTAACTTTTGAAGAAAATTCAGGTTTTAAAAAGTAAATGATGACAGATTTAAAAAATATATAAATAAATAACTGTGCTCAGGAAAAATGTGCTGGAATTCTCTTCCTCAACTAAATATGCTGTTCTCTTTCTTATTTCTGATAGTAGATTGATAAGGTATATGGGTTTGAAAACTCCTTTTAGGTCATATTAACTCACAATAATCTGTTTGAATGAAATCGCTTTCTCCAAAAGATTCCTCAGGATGACTTTGGCCCTTCTCTCTCTGTGAAAGTGTCCATGGCCCGTCTATGGTTTAGTGACAGGTATTTCTGCACGCGTAAGACTGGATAAGATATATTGACTGTGTGCATTTCGTGTTTGTAGCGACCGGAGGCGAGCGTTTGTCTGGGACGTAGATTTATAACGTCCAGTGATGGGGTTGGATGGTAAAGCGATGGAAGGTTGCTGCGTGTCCTGTGTGTGGGGGGGTGATCGGGCTGGGCGTGAGTGAGTGAGAGTTTTTGCGGATGAAGTTCTGCTAGGTTGGGAAGGACACAACAGGTTGAGGGTAAGACGAGTCTGTGGGGACGTTTCCTCAGTTTAGGTGGAAAGATCAAAGATTTCTCGAACGTGACTTTACGGGAGGAGAGGGTAGGCCAGGCCTTCTTTGCCTCCTCTGATTGATTCTCCTTACCAGAAATGCAATGGCTGCTTATGAGTGAAGACCTGTGACTGCTGGATTTTGATAGCGGATCAGGGTGAGACTGAATGAGAGGCTTGTAAACAGGGGCTCGAGGACGCCTGATTGAAGTCCCCTCTACAAGAAGATTCACTCCCACATACTGAGGAACTTCTACTGCTGCCTGAAGACAGAAGAAAAAAGCAAAAGCAAAAAAAAGACAATATATTTTGCATATAGAAAATAAAGTTATAGTTATTAGGACACTATTAGGACCCAGAAGGCTATTAGATTTTCTGTGACATTTTTAAGACAATTACATTTTACCCACATTGTTTAAAATCTATACATTTTTAATTGTTTAAAAGCAGTTATTTAATTATCAAATGCCACCTGTCTCGATATCACCGTTTGAACTTTGTTCTCTGCTTGCCCTATTTCCCTGCCTGTTTGTCATCATAGTTACTGATTTGATTTCTTCATTACGTTCAGCTGTGTTGTCATTATCACCTCGTTTGTCTGTCTATTTAAGTCCTGTGTTTTCCAGTTCATCTTTAACTCGATTCAAGTGGTAATTGTTTCTCATGGAGACCTAAGCGATTTTCAACATTTACAGGGGTTAGTCTGTGAAATTATTGCTGTCTGAATCCAGAATGTCTGTGTTTTTCTCCCACCACCTGCGTAAAAATCCCTGGCTGTTTTTTGACCAAACATCAAGATTGGGTGGTAATTTAATTGCTGTCTGATTCCACATCTCTGAGTTTACAAGAAGAAATTGATTAAAAGTTCACTGTTTAAATCCTTTTTGACCACTGCCAAACACTGTATGGTGACTGTTGCACTTTGCTGTAATTTGCATGTATATTTACTACTGAAATGCTGGAAAGTATACAAAAACAATATTTCATAACTGCTCCACCACAGCGATAGCGAGCTGTTCGGAACAAACAGAAGAAAGAGAAGAAAAATACATAAACATTTGAAATGGTTCATTATTATGGCAGCAACAGGTATGCAATACAGTTTGAAAATATGTATTATATACATTTATACACAAGAATATATAAACCAAGCAGCTTAATGTTTACCTTGCGTAAATAAGAGGTTGCATTAAGTTATTTCTGCGAATCTCCACATTTTTTTAATGACATCCATTATCGTCAGTGTATGGTTGTGCTTCTTTGTTTGCTAGTGTGTGGATTTACTTATGGATTTATTAAAGACTGTTTGAAGCATCATCTTCCTCGTCGTGCGTGTGGTTTACAACCAGTTGTGACACCACCAAAAGTTTGGAGTCAGAAGTAAAGTGTTCAGAAAGGACACTTTAAATTGATAAAGTGACAGTACACTTTACATTACAAAAATATATATATATATTTCAAATAAACACTGTTCTTTTAAATTTTTTATTTCTCAAAGAATCCTGATTCTTGGTTTCAGGAAAATATCATGGTTTCCAAAAAAATATTAATCAGCACAACTATTTTCAAATGTTAATAAGAAATCATAAAATAATATTAGAAAGATTTCTCATATTAGAATGGTTGCTGAAAATTCAGCTTTATCATCACAGGAATAAATTACATTTATTCATAGAAAACATATTTTAAATTGCAATAATACTTTACAGTTTTACTGTACTGTATTTTGATCAAATAAACGCAACCTTGGTGAACATAAGAACCATAAAAAAAATCTTACTGACCCCAAACTTTTGATGAGTAGTATACAGTATATGTTTGTTTTTTTCATTTGATTTGGCGATCTTGACATTCTGCACGTGTACCTGTTTGTATATTAGTTGGAAGCCGCCAGTGTGAGTGTTGCGGTCACATCGTCGATCCAGCACCACCCGCAAAGTGTCTTCCTGTACAGCGGGGCAGAGTCGAGCTGTGACTCCTGTGGAGGGTGCCATGGTGGGGCTGGCATTGATCTCCAAAAGCCAAGGTCGCAAATCCCGTCCCAGCATAAAGTCAGCTCCGTAAAGCTCAAAACTGGCTTTGCGAGGTTCCACACTGTCCTGCGCAGTCAAGAGAGTTTGGATAACAGCCTTCTGCATACCTGGAACCACCACCCCTTCCCACAGGTCACCTCGGCCTGAAGCAGCCAACCAGGAGCGGAACTGTGAACATGACCACATGCACTCAGCGGGTAGAGAAGGATTGCGATCTGGGCTTGGTTGAAAATGCTTCTGGATGGAGTTGTTGCAAAGATGTACAGAACTGTGGGTGGAAAGTAGGGAAAAATTTTAAAATAATAATTAAAAAAAAGATTAATTGAAGCCTAATAAATAATCTCTCTTAAAGGAATAGTTCAACCCGAAAATGGAAATTCTTTCCTCATTTACTCACCCTCATGTTGTTCCAAATCTATATGACTTTGTTTCTTCTGTAGAACACAAAAGTAGATATTTTCAAGAATTTCACACCGTTTCTACACCACACCGTGCCGCAATAGCTAAATGCTGTCTACACTGGACATGACAAAGCGACCATTGCAAATCATTTGAACTTTGTGTCAGTACGTCATAAATAGAACGAGGCATCAGTTTACTGTCGGGGATTTGTTGTGTCGCGTTGTGCCGTGCCACGCCGCGTCCAGTGTAGACAGCATCACTGATTATAATGGGTTTTATTATATTTTGTTGCATCGCGTCGCACTGCGCCGCTCGGGTCCGGTGTAGACACTGTGTTACAATGAAAGTCAGTGGGGTCCAAAACAACATTGACTTTCACTGTATGGACAAAAAAAAATTCAAAATATCTTTTGTTGTGCTTTACAGAAAAAAAGTCAGAGAAGTTTTTAATGACTATGTAAATGTTTTAATTTTTGGGTGAACTATCCCTGTAATGTTTGGCATTTGTTTTCTTACCTGTCCAATGTATGAGTGGAGTAAGGCTGGGTAGAAAAGCGAAGGTAGCACTCACGGTAGAACCACACAGTAAGTGGGTTCCAGTCTGTAACCAGGAACCACTGTCTTACATCAAACTTAGTGTCATGCACGAGGAGAGGTCGCTCCAAGTACTTCTGCACCACCCACTTACTGTCCTTCATGATGCCATGGTCTGCATCTACTAAACTCATTATCTCATCCAGCTTGTTCATGCACATTATACCTACAACAGTAAATCCAATAGTAAATTAAATAGTTTTGCTTTATTTTTACACCACTTTCTTCAGTCTTCACAAATTCACCTCTGCCTCGTGACTTGGCCCCAGGTTTAATGATCCAGATGTTGCAGAGTCCATCAGTCTCCATCTGGGGGCAAAAACAACGCATCTGCTCCAACATGCATTTACAACGCTCCGCATAATCTTCACAGCCCTCTATCGTCAGTCCTTCACTGCAAAGGAAAAGAGCAAGAAAGCTTTATAACTACTCTACAGAGCCCCTAAATGGACATGGTGATTAGAAAAAAAAATAGATGTGAGGAAATATTAAATTTCAATGCTTTCGCGTTCTTTCATAAAACTTTTGCACTCCCTCAAGAAACTTTACATTCACTCACAAAACATTTGTGTTCCCCGAGAATCTTGGCGTTTGCTTGCAAAACTTTTGTGATGGAAATAATATAAGGTGAGAGGAAATATATACTGCATATATTAATACTTTTGTGAGTGAATCCAAAGTTTCTCAGGGGAACGCAATACTTCTGTGAACACAAAAGCAATGAAATATAATAATTATTTATCCTACTTAATCTTTATTACTTTATTGTGACTGGACAGTCCAAGTTTCTGAACACCAGAAATTCTGTAATTTGTCTAATGTTAGAAAGTTGCATACATTTGGAATGAGACAGTTTTGCAGCTTAGTTTTATTACATGATTTTCATTATAGAAGTTCAGCCCTGAAACTTTTAAAGAAACTTTTAAGATAAAAAAAAAAAAATTTTCATGATATATTAAGTACACTATAAATAATAATAATAAAAACAATCATACTCACTGAATAACTAAATAATAATTCTGAAGAAACACCTTCCACTGTTCCTCTGAGAGGGTAGGGGTTGTTTCCAAAGTCATGTCTATGTCACAGTGTTCTAAACTGTTCAGATACTCCTGACATACATGCAATGCATTGTCAATTATCGAGCTTCCAACCCTCTGATTGGCATGCTGTTTACGAGGTTTGCTCAGACCTACACAGGAGGGAAGATATGTGAATATGTTTGAGTTCTAATGTGGGTTTGTGTGTGTTAGTGTGTGTCATACCATGAGATTTAGCATCATGCACCTCTCTGGTTCTCTCCCACTCTGAATCCCCTGCATACTTCTCCAAAACATACATCAGTAGACTTGTGCATGCAGTCCGTCTAAAGTCCTCTGTAAAGAAACAGAACAAAATCAATTTCCTTAGGAGGATCTGGTCTGGTAACAGAAATATTGCAGGTTTAATGCATGGATAGGGCAACTCATGAACAGTTACAGAGAACATATATCACAATTGTGCCTGTGAGCAACACATTTAACCCCAGATTACCCCAGGGATAATAACAGTTCACATGGTGTCTTTGGGGGAAAATAATCACCTGTTAAATGAAAAGAAACCAAGCAGCCAATAGGGGACATAAAAGCAAGGACACAGTATTTTCCAGATTAAAGGGGTGGTTCACTGGCTTTTTTTCTAGGCTTGATTGTGTTTATGGGGTGCAGTCTAACATGTGTACTGACCAATAAAAGCATGTTTATCATCCTCCGCCCCCAGTCTGTAGCAGCGTGGGAAGAATGTATCGGGATCTGCTGCATCAAACCACTGCAGATTTCTCAAACTCATACACAAACCAACCTGAAAAAGACATAGTTACGAAATGAGAGGTAATGAGTACGTTTTAATATACTGTAGAAGAATTTTAGCTTCAATGGCTTTGTTTGTCGAAATTTGTGATGAACCTTGGTGGTGAAAGATCCCGCCTTTTCGTAATGATTGGTCATCTGGTCTTTACGTAAAGACCGACAGTCGACTGAATCCCTCCTTGTTGTCCAGTAGAAATATGCCGTCTCATTGCGAACCAACCGTGACTAGGGATTTAAAATAAGAATCAGAGACTGTCCACTGTTGACAAATCGCATTAAAAAACCCAGCTGCTATGGCAACTATCTGAAATGGAATTCCACAGTTTCTAAACGTACCATTAGGTCATACAGATCATCTGCCTCATCGTCCCTCTCTCCCTCCTCTCCTAAGTCTGCATAAAGAAGCAGAGAAGGTGGTGAGACAGTAGTCAAGGGACAGAAAACGTGATCTATGTCACTGGCATCTGTTTGTTGGAATGAGTGGTGTCAGGTTAGCTACTCAAACTATCATAGTGAGCTTTAGATTACAGTGGGTCATTAACTAAACAGTTACACAAGATGCTGTGAAGCATAGCATTTACAGTATACTTCACACACACACACACACACACACGTTTACAATATTGTTTAAAAATTTGGGGTTGGTAAGAATTTTTTAATGTTTTGGAAAGAAGTCTCTTGCTCATCAAGGCTGCATTTATTTTATTAAAAATACAGTAAAAACTGCAATATTTTGAAGTATTATTTAAATGAACTGTTTTCTATTTTAATATATTTTAAGTTGCAGTGGGTCATTAACTAAACAGTTACACAGGATGCTGTGAAGCATAGCATTTACAGTATACTTCACACACACACACACACGTTTACAATATTGTTTAAAAATTTGGGGTTGGTAAGAATTTTTTAATGTTTTGGAAAGAAGTCTCTTGCTCATCAAGGCTGCATTTATTTTATTAAAAATACAGTAAAAACTGCAATATTTTGAAGTATTATTTAAATGAACTGTTTTCTATTTTAATATATTTTAAGTTGTAATTTATTCCTGTGATGATAAGGCTTAATTTTCAGCAGCCATTACTACTACTCCTCAGTGTCTTATGCTCCTTCTAAAATCATTCTAATATGCTAATTTGGTGCTTAAGAAACATTTTGTCTTATTATTGCCAGTTAAAAACAGTTGTGCTGCTTTAAAATGTTTGTCAAAACCTTCATTCTTTGATGAATAGAAAGTTCAAACAAACACATTTATTTGAAATATATATATATTGTAACATTTTAAATGTCTGTCAATTGTGATCAATTTAATGTGTCCTTGATAAATAAAAGTAGTAACTTTTTTTAATCTAATTGCAGAGATACCATACCCATCTGTTGTTTTATTATAATTACTTTCAGGGGGTAGAAACCTAAATGTCTAAATACCTTGGGGAAGTCGTGGCCTAATGGTTAGAGAGTCGGACTTGTAACCCAAAGGTTGCGGGTTTGAGTCTCGTACCGGCAGGGATTGTAGGTGGGGGGAGTGAATGTACAGCGCTCTCTTCCACCTTCAATACCACGACACTGGTCACTAATTCTGAGTATGGGTCACCATACTTGGCCACATGTCACTTCACTTGCTGGTTGGCAAAAGGGTGCTAGACAAAGTTGAATATAGCTATTTTTATTTTTTTTTTTACATTTTAAAACATCCCCTGACATGCCCAACAGAATGTTGTGACAGTAACTAACTTCTGGGTACAATTTTGTCCCCTGTGTATAGCTAACGTGCACACACAGAAACCGACCAGCCTTATCAAGTGTCTATGCAGAGTGATGGAACGGGTCTAATCTTAGTTCTCTCAGATACTCTCACCATCATCATCACTGCTGCCACCCTCATCTGTGGCTTCTGTTTCAAGATCAT